AGTTAAGTTTGTTAGGTTGGGCTGTAGCTGTTGGAATTCAGATAGCATTTTTGGGCGATAAGATGTAAGATTGGTTCCTCCTTTGGTAGCCTTATAGTACGCGCGCATAACACTTATATTTAATTCTTTAGTCCAGCGCATGCGTCGTCGCACTACACCATCAGTAGCGGGGTCCTCTTGTAGGATGGTAATTCCTGCAGGTCCCAAGCCAGCCGGTGGCGCTCTTCGTCCCCTCAAAGATGGTACGGGGGTTGCCTCTAGGATTACATTCCATGGATGTGTAGTCCTCCGTAGGCGATGTTACGTGTGCGATTGTGGTATTGGCGGTATTTATTCGTCTTTGTCGTCTCGTTTGATGCATAATGTAACGTTAAATTAAATATTTTATAAATCTGTTTGTAAAATTTCTTATATGACAGTTGTCAATTTGAAAGAAATACATTTTTTCTTGAAATTAGTTTCTTATCCACAGATTTTTAAAGTTTTTATTTATATTGATATTGTAAAATCTATTTGCGTTGAAAATTTGTTATTTGGGAACTTGAAACATATGCTACAAAAAAATAATTTTTAAGATTTTGTACTGACTGCATCATTTACTTTTGACAACGTCCGCCATTATTATTATTTTTGGGGTATCTATAAAGTTTTCTCATCTGGTTGGGCAGTATAAATATATAATTGTAAGTGAAAATGGTAAACATACATAAATATGAATAAAATAAAATAAATACATAAAAAATACATAAATATATAAAAACCCAACCAGATGGAAGCCCTCGGCAGGGGAGACCAGACGGCCGAGGGTTAGGGGGAAAGGGAAAGAAACCGGCGGACGATGCGGGCGGTATCGAGGAGCACCGCCTTCTGCATTTGAGCCTGGAGCGGTCCGTCACGGAGTCCCAGTCGCCTCAGATGACCCGGGAGGCTAACTGGGATTAACCCGTTCGCAGAAACGACCACAGGAATAATTTCGGTCGGCAGACCACCCCACATGCCGGTAACCTCGTGAGCCAGGTCCAGATATTTTGTCACCTTATCTGTTTCGGCTTTCACGAGGTTCTCGTCATAAGGAATGGTAATGTCGACCAAAAAGATCCTTGACTGTGCCCGGTCCATCAGCACAATATCAGGCTTATTCGCAAGAATAGTCCTGTCTGTGATGATGGCCCGGTCCCAGTAGAGCCTGGCGCGGTCATTTTCGAGCACGGCTTCCGGCAAGTACTTATAATACGGCAGTTTCCGATCCACGAGGCCGTATTTCAGAGCGAGCTCCTGGTGTAGAATCCTGGCTACTAGATTGTGTCTGTGCAAATACTCAGAGTTAGAAAGCGCCGAACAACCGGAGATGACTCACCGGGATGGCGACAAGCTTGACAGATGTCGACGGCGCCATCCTTTATGATGTATCTCCGATAATTGTTGGTTTTAATAACCTGATCCTGTATCGTACAGACAAAACCCTCGGTTTCCCCAAAGAGGTCACCGAAACGTAGCCAGTGAAGGGAGGCGACTGTGTCTACGAAAGGCTCATGTAGAGCCTTGTAGAACCTCCCGTGGAGCTCCTTCTCCTTCCATATGGTCTCCCGGTCGGAAATGCACTGTACTGCTGGGTCTTGCCATTGCTCGTTGGCTAAGGATAGAGGGGTCAGTCCTTTATCACAAGAAATAACGTCCCTATAGTATGGATCATCCGCTCTCGTCAGAAAGTAATTACGGAGGCTGCACACTTCGCGATTATGCATGGTAAGCGCGCTTAAAAAGCCGCGCCCGCCATGCTTCCGCGGCAAGTACAGCCTCATTACTGACGATCTCGGATGATGCATCCTGTGGTACGTCATTATAGTGCGGACTTTTCTGTCCAGAGCGTTTAGTTCGGTCTGAGTCCACCTAAGTATGCCAAAGGTATACATGAGAACAGGCATGACCCAACCGTTATATGCGTGCGTCTTATTCACACCGGACAAAAGGCTGTTAAGCACTTTGGTCAAGCGTGCATAAAACACATCGCAAACTGACTGTTTCATACCCGCCTCATCTACACCGATGTTCTGTGACATACCCAGGTATCGGTATGTTTCAGCTTCGGAAAGGGTCCTTATGTTGATGGGCATAGATAAATCTATGCCCTCAGAGTTAGCAACCCTTCCCCCTTCAACATGGAGGACCGCACACTTATCCGTCCCCAGCTCCATTCTAATAGAATTGCTAAAATCACAAGTGATGTTTAGCAATTCCATAAGATGAGAGCGACTGGAGGCAAATAACTTGAGATCATCCATATAGAAAAGGTGGGTCACTTTTGTACCTCCCCTCCGAAGCTGAAATCCCCTCCCGGAGCCCTCCAGTAAGGTACTGAGAGGGTTCAGAGAGAGGCAGAACCAGATTGGACTCAGACAATCGCCCTGGAAGATACCCCTTCTTATCCTTATGTGGTTCTCCGCAGCCGTCATCCGCTCGCCTAGATGACAAAGGATCGTACTCCACTGCCCCATACACTGCCCAAGGAAGTCTCTAACTGTACAGTCAACCTTGTACAGCTCGAGGACCCTCTCCAGCCATGTATGAGGCACCGAGTCGAATGCCTTTTTGTAGTCTATCCAGGCGGCGGATAGGTTCCGACGGTTGCGTTTAACCACTTTGCCAATGACCGCGTCAATGAGGAGTGGTTCCTTGGTTCCACGACCACCGCCCCGACATCCATTTTGAGCGCGCGACATCACCTGATTTGAGTTCAGGTGACGAGTGATTCTCGCGCTCAAAATGGATGTTAGTGTCTTATATATCGTGGGTAGACACGTGATGGGGCGGTATTTGCTCGGGTCTATGGTATCCCGGTCTTTAGGAACCAAATGAGTGATCCCAGTAGTGAAGAGGCTCGGGAGCGACTTTTGGTCGAGAGCCTCTTGAAATTGTCGGGCGAGCACAGCGTGACACACCACGAACCCCTTCAGCCAGTAGTGATGCAGCCCGTCGAGCCCCGGACTTTTCCAGTTCGGGGCCCTTCGGACCGCCTCAGCTACATAATAAGGCGTAGGGAAGTGACGACCCCATCGCCCGCTGACGTAGAAGTTAAGTGACAAAACTGCTATGTCAGCGCAGTCAGTCAGTGCCTTGCCAAGAGGTGTGAGCGCCGTGCCTCGGCAGTATTGAGGGTGCAAAGGCCCGTTTGTGCTTACGGCCACACTATTAAACGGCGCCGGGTCTGGGCGTCTCCCGTTAATTGACGCCCAATTCAATGGATGATGGAAAATAATAGAACGCGCATAGGGCCGCTGCCTGGGGGTCGCCGGGGCGCGTCTGGAGCTGGCGCTGGACGTGACAGCATGCGAGCCGCCAGCCGAGCGCGAGGTGCTGCACGACCACCTAGCAGCCCCTCGCGTCCATCATCCCCACCAGACGGCTTGGTGTCGGCGGGGTCCTCTCGGACTCGGCAAGCGGCACCCGCCGCTGGTGGAGTACGCCGCATGCGTTGGACAAAAAACATGAACATAAACGCATTGCGGGCGTACTATAGGGAGAAAGGGGAAGAAACTGGAGGGATAGCGTATCGGGCTCGGATGCATCGCTTTTTTGCTGAGCTTGAGCCGTCAGTTCCCGTCACGGAGCAAAACCTGGCAGACCGAGTTCGGTACATCATACGCTCGAAAATATTTGATGATGCCGAACTCGAACGACTACGACGTGAGGCTATTCCCTCATCGAATGAACCGGCTATAGCTGGGGATGCGGCTCTTCAGGCCACAGACCAGCAGCCACATATAGAGGGCGCCATGGATCTCCCTGCTCTGGTTGATTCAGGCGATGATGGAATAGTCACCCAAGAACTAGAGCAGATGAGGAGTAAATTGGAGGAGGCGATTGTGGAAACGCGCAGTATGCCTCTCGAAAATCGACCGCGACTCCCGCGCATACCCCTAAGCAAGCGGAATCGGGCTGTCGTGAGGGCTCTCAACCCAATGCTGGTCACCTATTTGGAAGCCAGCCGGGACCTTTGCGAGACGGACTCAATTCTTTTTGGCGCCGCACTGGCAGTTTGCCGTATTGTTGGCGCCAAACTCCCCACGGCTGGACGCGCTACTAGACAAAGTAGCGCCATCCCAGCCTGGAGAAGAAGGATTGAGGACCGTATCGTAAAGGCAAGGGCCCTCATCGGCAGGCTGATAAGCTTCAGGTCGGGCAATAATAGGCCGCGAATTGTGCGCACCGTCAGAATGGCGTTTGCTGGGACAAATATCAGTTTGTCCCAGCCGGATATAACGCAAAAACTGACGGAGCGCATAGACGACCTGAAGCAGAGAATCGCTGCTTGGGGGAAGCGGATTCGGCGATATACCGAGAGGTCGACACGGTTCAACCAGAATCGTCTCTTCCAGAGTGATCAGAAGAGGCTATATAAATCATTGGAGCGACCAATGGTACGTGGAACGGGCCAAGCACCGAATCAGGCCGACACTGTCGCATTCTGGCGCGGCCTGTGGTCAGAGCCCGTAAACCACCGCGAGGGCCCTTGGACGGAAGTTGTGGTGAGTCAGTGTGCGAATCTTACGCCCATGGACCCCGTCATTATAACGCCGAACGATGTAGCTGAGGCGGTTATTATTATAGTTATTATAATAATTATTATATTATTATTATTATAGTTATTATGGGGTATTTGTATAGTTTTCTCATCTGGTTGGGCTGTATAAATATATAATTGTAAATGAAAATGATAAACTATATATTATAGTTATTATTATTGATATTATTTTTGATTTATTATTTATATTATTATTGATATTATTATAGTTATTATTATTATTATAGTTTCCTGTCGCAATACATCTGGCACAATGAGAAAAGTTGTGGCATTTGCCAATGCATCCGCTAAGAGGCATGAAATTTTTAAAATAGAACTCTGAACTGCCATGCAAGGTATTTGTGAGACACGTTGGGTAGAGAGGCATGATGGGCATCTTCAATTTCAAGGAGACAACTTAGTCAAAATTTGTAGCGCTCTGGAGAAGATTTCTGCTTGGCAAGACAATAAAACTGCCAATGATGCACATTGCTTGCTGCAAACATTGCGCAGTTCTGATTTTATTATATCCTCCATCTGCTTAAGTGATGTTTTAGGTGGGTACTTCCCTAAATTATTTTATTTCTTATTGTTTAGCAAATGAACTTATATATGTACGAGTATACTAAACCTACTTTAAAATTATGTTGTTGTTTTGTTAATATTTTATGCTACGAGTACATACCGTTTATATTAAGTTATAAATTCTTAGTTTATGCACTACAGTCACAGTTACTTACTTTTTATTTTTCAGGTACTACTGTATCTTTAAGCAGAATATTGCAATCGAACTCAATTGATTTAAAAAAAGCTACGGACGCTATTAATTATACTTTAAGTGTTTTACAAAATAAAAGAGAAAATGTGGACGTAATTTACCGACAGCTTTTTGAAGAGGCTAAAGAAGTAGCTGAGCAGCTAGATGTAGAAATTAAATGCCCCAGAATAGTATCAAAACAAATACATAGGGCCAATAACCAACCTGCTCAATCTGCTGAAGAGTATTTCCGCAGAGCTATATACATCCCTCTTCTAGATTCAAAAATAAGTGATCTCCAGGACCGCCTGTCTCCTGATGTACTTAATTTGTTTCAGCTAAGCGTTTTCATGCCAAAAAGTGAATATAGTAATGAAGACATCGAAACTGTGAAACAACTAGCTACTGACTATACATTATTACTAGATAACACTCCAGTTTCTGTCATTGTAAATGAATATCGGCTGTGGATGGTGAAGTGGCAGGCGTGGCAGCGGAGCCAGGACATACCGCAGTCAATTTCTGATCTTATTTTAAATTGTGACATCGATATGTATTCTAATATAAGAAAATTTTTATGTATTATGGCTACACTACCTGTCAGTGTAGCGACAGCAGAAAGGTCTTTTTCTACGTTGCGCAGAATTAAATCGTGGCTAAGATCTTCAATGGTTGAAGATCGCCTAACCGGACTGGCACTTCTCCATGTTCATAAAAACGTACCCATTGACGTAAATGACGTAATAACGCGTTTCGGGAGAACACGTAAAAGAAAAATTGATTTTGTTATTTAAATGTATGTATTTTGTCTGTTTTTATTTTGTTTGTTGGTAACCCTTGTCGTACCACCTCTTCACTTTTGCGGAGTTTTGCGTCATAACCCTCGACATACCCCTAGCTGTTATGACAAATAATTCACCACGGTTATGGAATATAAATAGGCTGCCTCATTCCGTGCGTGATAGTGCTTCTCTGGATGTCTTCAAGAGAAGATGGCAATATGTACGTGTATATGTACAAGTTATTATGTGTTAAGTTTTTCAAGTGTACAATAAAGAATAAATATTTTTAAGTACATTACTTACGTACATTAATAAAATACATACTTTTTACTTGTATCTATTGTTATCAAAATTAAATTATAAGTTCTTGACTTGACCACGACTATGTGACCCCCTCCTGGCGCCAAAGCTGGATCCGCCCTTGGATTAAAACTACAAAAAATGTGTCCATTGAGGAATTAGTGATACTTAATTATTAATACGATTAATATACATCGTACGAATATAAAAATCAAATTAATAATGTTAAAACCAACATACATTTAAAACATCGATTTATCAGAGTCACGTCTCTAATTTGGAATTATCCTTAATTCGCGCCCAGGCCGTCGTCGCTTTTGGACGTCGATAGTGATTGGATGAATTTATTTTCCGGAAAACTATCTAATTATAAGTAAATATTATTCAAGAGATGAACTGCTACGCACATTAGACAGTGATAATGACGACTTTGAATACGAGCATGACACGGATTTGGATTTAGAGGTAAGTAGATACTGTCCATACCTACCTAAAATGAACTCCTTTTTATTTTCTTGGAGTCTAAGGCCCGCCACATACATACGGAATTCCGTTTCGAGATTCCGTTTCGGAATACCGATCGGTCGGCCACACACAAACGGAATCCCGTTTTGCCCGCAAAATATCGAACGGAAAACTACCGTACGTGTGTGGCGGGTCATAGATTTTATATGGACTTGCTGCGTTCGGGATTCCGAATCGGAATATCGAAACGGAATCTCGAAACGGAATTCCGTATGTATGTGGCCGGCCTTAAGGTACTTAATTAGTGTTGTGCATCTTATATTAAAATTTATAATGTACAATCGATCTATTTATTACGTATTTTGGTAACAGGATGAAGGCCAACAATCGCAGCGTTACGAGGCTGAACAAGTTTCGACAGGACCGCAAGATCCAGTGGCAGAGTCGGCATCATCTCACACATCGCACGGGGATGGTAGTCAGCAATTTATATGGTCTAACACATCTTCAAGGCCAGTTATTCAAACTTTTGATGACTGCTGTTCTGGAATTTCTTCTGCTACATTAATGACGCTTAATGAAAACTGCTCTGAGTTAGATATATTTTTACATTTTTTTGACGAAGGCCTTATGAATCAAATAGTAATTAACACTAATCAATACCATCATCATTTTTTACGAACACGTACTTTAAATGTATATTCAAGATTGCACAAATGGTACGATGTTACTGTCTCGGAAATGTACGTATTCTTTGCTGTAACAATGTTATTTACGCGAAATAAACACTTATCTATGGAGGAGCACTGGTCAATAGACCCTTTATTAAATGCTCCGATTTTTTCGAAATTAATGTCACGTAATAGATATTTCACGATATTAGGCATGTTACATTTTGGCCCACACGACGCCCAATTTTCAGATACTCCTAAATTGTCAAAAATACAAACTCTCGTTGAGTACGTTCGCAAAAAATTCAAAAATTCATTCATTCCGCATAGCAACCTATGTGTAGACGAAAGTGTATACATAGCCTTTTAAGGGAAGATTGATCATAAAACAATTTTTGCCAAAAAAACGTAATCGCTTTGGAGTTAAAATGTTTGTTCTATGTGACGTAAAATCCAAAGTCATACTTGACTTTATTGTTCATGCTGGCAAGGAAACGCCTATTATAGATCAACAAAATTTAGGTGTAAGTGGGGCAGTTGTGGTTACTCTACTACAAGACTTTTTGGACACTAATCGGAGATTATATGTCGATAATTGGTACAGTAGCCCACAGTTGTTCCGAAATTTATATCAGCAGGGAATAGTCGCATGTGGGACAGTACGCAAAAATAGGTCAGGCATGCCTAAATTTGAAAAAATAAAAAAAGGCGAAGTTTGTGTCAAGTATTGTCCACCCTTGATGGCATTGCAATGGTATGACAAAAAAATTATAACATTGCTTTCAATGATGCACGATCATACTTTCATACCGTGTTTAAGGGAAGATAGAGAATCGGGTTTACCAGTTTTAAAACCAGAATGTATTGTAGATTATAATACAAATATGGGAACGATAGATATAGCCGATATGATGCTGTCATCTTTGCATTGTATGAGAAAAAGTATGAAGTGGAATAAGAAGTTTAGTTTTTATGTAGTTGATATGCTCATACTAAACTTGTTTTATTTTGCAAAAATATTAAAAAATAACGCGGATCTTCCTTTTAGTAGTTTTCAGTTACATCTTATTAGACAAATCATTGAGAAATTTAATCCCGGCGTATCCTCAAAACCTACAGTTCGGCGAGCAAATATAAATAATCGATTGCGGTTGCTGTCTAATAATTCTGCAGATCATATGCCAATACAAAATAATCGAAAACAGCGATGTAAAAATTGCGCGCATAATAATCGTAGAAGGGAAACAATGTACACAGATAATGTCTGTAAAGTTAATTTGTGTGTTTTGTGCTTCAAAAAATATCACCAAGATCAAAGTTTCAAATGATATAACTTACCTACTTCCTTTAATTAGGTACATATTTATATACAACAAGCTCTGTATATAAATATGTACCTAGATAAAGATATAGAACAAGTATTTTTATAAGGAGGTACTTAGGTAGGTATTTAACATAAGTTTTTACTTTATTCTTTCAATGAATAATAATAACAACTGTACACATGATAGAGTTAAAAATAATTCATTTTCGTCATTTTTCGATATCTCTAAGTTGTTGTAATTTTAGTTTTCTTACTTTATTTTGATTGTGTAATTCAAGGTAGGGTTTGTACCTTACTTGTTTGTGTAATATAAATTCAAAATTGTTATGGAAAATAAAGAGGAATATGTACAATTTTTTTAAAATTATGTTACCATTCCCATGCCCAACTCCTTGTTTCGGGATAAAAGTCGGAAATATAAAATCGATCGGATTTGTTTCAAGATGAAACAAATCGATGGATTGTAATTTCCAATATTCTACTACACTAGAGTATTTTTATGTCTATGGTTTATGGAGGATTAGATTACTCCGAGTTACACTTCGTGTTAGTATTTCGTTTCGTTAAGTTAATAGAATATAAATTGTGCCAAATGTCTTCGTCTGACGATACTAAAACATTTTGTACTCAAAGGTTCGACTCGTGTTGGTCAACTGTAGCTAACAAAGATGATAATTTGAAAAGTCCAAGTTTCGAAGAGGAGATCATAGGAGATTCTCAACCATTTTCTCCAAGTTTACTTTCCAACTTGCCGAAAAAAAGAAAGAAAACTGCAGAAAAGGCAACTCAGTGTGAAGAATGTTTCGTCAATTACAAACGAACACCCGAGTTCGAAATAAAGTGAATGTCGATGCACTCCGACCTCCGAGATTTATCTGTGAACGGCCTTCGGATATTAGAAACGAATATTTTGCTAGTTTGGTTGCACTTGAATTGGAAAAAATAAGGCCTGAAGAAAGATCATATGTCTACGGGCAGATCATATATACGATCAGGAGTTGCCGTAGCGAAAATGAATTTCCGTGACTTTCCGTATAAATCCGTAGTACAATATTTTGCTACAAACGTGTTTATTATATTATCCCTGAAATAACCGTATTTTATTTAAAGCCATACGCTATTGACGCTTTCAAGCGACAAGTATTAACGTCAATCTCATTTAACGGATGCGTTTTGTTTGATAAAAACTTGTTTTAGTGAAGTTTTAATTGTGAAATTAGTTTGTTAATTTGATTATTTCATTCATGTAGGTTAATTAATGCTATTATATAACATTTATTTAATAAATGGAATATCTATTGCAGTAGTAAAGGTTTATCGATATTTGTTGATATCTCATCACTAGCATTTTGTAGGTATTTAATAGTGAATAAAAGGCTTGGCGTAGAGAGCATACTTCCCATGCGCTGCGCTTGGCGTTCAAAGGGTTAAAAATATAGTTTGAAAGTGACAGCCCTTGGTTGTAGCAAAACACGGCAAAGTAACCGACACATCATAGCATCACTAGTACGGTAACTTTGCCAAGTTAGTTTTATAGATAAACGTTAAGACCAAGTTTTTTTGGCCTTCGCTACTAACGAATTTAAGATTCGAAAAAAAAATAACCCAGTTCAATTCTGAAAACTTACTGGTCAACCAATACATTGCATTCACTCGTCATACGAGTTCTCGAATGGAGTCAACTGTGGGATTGACTGTAGGATCGACTGTAGCCATGAAGCTAATACAAAGGGGAGACGGCATAAGCAACTGTGCACTGTGATTCTAAGTAGGTCCTGACGTAATCATAGTGGGCGTGGCTTTAGTTAGTATACTGTCAGCATTCGTCCTGTGCGCTTAGGTGTTGAAAAAATCGCAAATCGGTGTATTTTCGTAGTATTAAGAAGAAAAGGATGAAGTGTTGTGTTTTTTTGTATAAAAACTAGTCAGATAGACGCTCTGATGTTATGGATGGCATCACATTTCATTTGTAAATATTTTTACACCTAATTTATTAAAATAGTTCTAGAAAAATCTCTGCGTCGGCTTTCAAATATAATTAAATATATTCGACACTAGATGGCGACACTTTGTGTCATGTCAACTAAAAATATAAAGGTCCGTAGAGCTCAGTATTGGTAAAATAATCATACGATGGTGCTGAAATTTGTTTTGCATTTAGACATAAAGAAATTTTAATCGCAAAATATTATTTTTATAGTTTATAATCATTTTGAGATCAGGCCGTATCCTCGTCAAGTAAACCTCATAAAAATGACAAAAAGACAGGGCCCTAATTAGAATTCAATTATTTTTCCCAGTAATCCAACTTTTAATATTAAATACAGTACAATTTCCTTCATTTTAATATCTAATGTTGGGGTACTGGGTAAAATAATTGAATTCTAATTGCGGCCCTGTCGTTTTGTTATTTTTTATGAGGTTTACTTGACGATAGATGGCGGCCTGTTCCCAAAATTATTATAAAAACTATAAAAATATTATTTTGGCAATTAAAATTTCTTTGTCTGAATATATTTGCTTCATGAGATAGACGCTCCGATGCTATGGATGGCATCACATTTCATTTGTAAGTAATTTTACACCTAATTTATTAAAATAGTTCTAGAAAAATGTCTTTGCGTCGGCTTTCAAATATAATTAAATATATTCCACACTAGATGGCGACACTTTGTGTCCTGTGAACTAAAAATATAAAGGTACGTAGAACTCAGTAATGATAAAATAATCATACGAAGGTGCTGAGATTTGTTTTGCATTCAGACAAAGAAATTTTAATCGACAAAATATTATTTTTATAGTTTATAACATTTTGTGGACATGCCGCCATCTACCGTCAAGGTAGCTAAGCTACATTGCAACTTCGATATGGAAAGATTCGAGTAGTTTTACTATTTATCGGTAGATGTAGATAGTGTAGTGGGCGGGGCTTTGCATCCCCTCACCCCGCAAATTGTCACGCATTGTTACATAGTGAAATTTAATTACAACGTCTCCTCTTTGTATTTGCTTCATGGTTGTGACGGTGCATCTAAATGCACCCTTACAAATACTTATAATTAATTAATCTTAAATAGATAATAATATAGATATTATCTTAAATAGATAATAGTAATATAATATTCTAATCTAAAAATAAAAAGTAATAAATTATAACATATTGTTCATTTAAAATAGTTATTCTACGGAACCATAAACTAGTTAATTTAATCCGCGTATCTGTAAAACAAAAGACTCGGTAGGATTCAGACACGACGACGAGTCCTCGTTCGGGCCATTCCTTTTTCATTTCTACATGAGACTGCTTCAAGTTCGCAACGCGCGTGACCCTCCTACTAACGACCGTTGAACCTGCTTACCTACAATTAAAATTTAAATTATTCGAGGTGTAGTTGATCCCGCTGGGGTGAGTTCTTATTTATTGAAACATTGTAACTGTTCTGCTTAATTATTATCTCTTCTCCTGAGGCTGCTTAGTGCTTAACTTTAAGAATTTTTTAACTTCCTAGAAGGGGTGCTGGAATTGACTAGGGCGCATATAGTACTATAGCAAGTTTCCCTAATGCTGGCCTCCATCTGGAATTCCAGGATCTACCTACTACCTGAGCATCTCCCTATTACCTGAGCATCTACTTACTACCTGAGCATCTACCTACTACCTAAGCATCTACCTACTACCTAAGCATCTACCTACTACCTGAGCATCTACCTACTACCTAAGCATCTACCTACTACCTGAGCATCTACCTACTACCTAAGGACTACTGCTTGCCGAGCCGCGAGCTAACGGAGTGTTGGCCTACCCTCCTACCAACGGCCTTCATGACTGTCGGGCTTGGGTATCACCGGCTCCTGCTAGCTGGCTGTCTACGACCCTGAGGGAACAGCGCTTGGACTTCGCCTCTACTTCAGGCCAGTGATCCCCTTCATAGAACTTACTCATACACGACTGTTTGGTTGACTTTACGTTCAACTGTAAGTTTGCCCGTGGCGTCGAAAGTGGTGTCGACTGTAGGATCGACAGTAACCTAAATGTGATTCCCCACATGGGCGACTGTAGAGTAGTAACCTGTGGGGTCGACACTATGGTCGACTTTAGGAAGGGTCGACTATTGACTGTGGGTGGCGATGGTTTCTCTTACGTAGCCACCAGTCGCAAAAACATTCACAGAAATATACCACACCTATAATATCAGGCGCATCTGCTGCGTAAAGCGAGTTTTCGCAAAATGATCTTGTCGCGGGTCGACGCAGCGGGAAGCATGAGACCGGCTTAACCAGTGCCTTTTTTGTACATTATTTAGTGAAGAAAGAGTGGTTTTGATGCGTTTGGACTATGCACCATAAATCAAACCCCTCAGTGTGATACAGAGTAAAACGTAATAATTATAACCTTTTTAAGCAGATGGTCAATTGGACTGTCTTAGCACAACAAAGGCCTTGGGACACCCAGATTGTAAAAGGAAGGAAAGCAAATTATTCTATTATCTTGATACAAAGAAGTACCTATTATAATATATGCTTTATACCATAAAAGGCTTCGGATAAACATTAAAAATCCATGCAATAGTATTGTAAACTTAACATGCAGTAAATAAAACAACGTTCAAAAATTTCATATTTCTTTATTTACCATTTCCTACTCACTAGTCAACGGCTATATACAGCTCTTTGTCAGGTATGTATTAATATTTTTAGCACATTCATAATTAGCTACATTATTACGTAATTCATAGCTAATTTATGTTTCAACTTAATCAACAAAACTTTTTAATTTTATATCACAGTGCTGAATTAAAATGAAATAAAAGTAAAAACAGCGGACATTTTGCAATTTAGATTCGTTTTGCAAAAGCAAAATAAATTTACGAAAATTAAATCTTCCGACATTTTATAATCATTTAGTGTTGACATATTTTACTGGAACAATTTTAACTACTTTTTCCATTCCCAGAACACCGTCAAGCGGTATACATTTCCTTATTCCTTTCTTTAAAGTTATCCCTTGCTTCTTTTAGATTCTTTGAGGACATCATCTTCAGGTGTATCCGGAGATGGGTCATCAATGTTTTTCTTTGCTTTCAGAGCTTCCTTAACAGCATCCACTAGATTTTGATGCTCCGATATCGAAATTTTCTTTCCTGTTTAATTAAAGAAATATATATTTTAACATTTAAACTCCCAAATATTTTTCTTTGTAACTATGTATTATAAGTAATTACTATTATAATAACCAAACACATAAGAAAGTTTTTGAATTATCATACTTCTAATGATATATTACTTTTACTATGTTCAGCGGTGGTCTTGTGAAGGGCTGTAGTGATAGTGATAGTGAATGCACACATTTTTATTACATATTTTTTACATTTGTAGGTGTAAAGAGTAAAATTTTGATGGACTGAAAAATCAAATATATTCTAGATAGCAACTTGTATGTCCTCCGTTTAAACGCTGGTAGGCTGTAATTAACACGTTTTTAACATTACAAATCCATTATTTTTTGTCCAGTGGTAGTGGTAGCTTGTAAATAAGATCGGCTACGCGTTAGCCATGCATGAGCACACCAACGACAGGATCGGAGCTGAAGAGGTCACCGTGGCCGAAATCGTTAGAGATTATTATTATTATTATTATTATTATTAGTTGTCGCCAATCACCATACGAAACACAGCAGCATTATGCTGCTATTTCACGCTTATATTCTGTGCGAGTATGGTCTTTCCCCGGTCGAGCCGATCAGTTCGTGCTGCAGCATGGCTCTACTACGTAGAAGTTACAGCCTATTAAGACTCATAGCTGGGCACATGCCTACCTTCATTTCTGAAAGGGTTTTAGGTCAAAGCAATTGAAACGCGATCGCAAACGTACTTCTTAACGCGTTTAATTAAAAAATTTATCAGTATATCTAAAATTAAGAATATTGAACTATTGCCGTTTCAAACCCTTTAACGGTTACTTATTAAATCTACGCGCTCCTTCTATTTAATACTTTTGATCAGGGCACAAATGCAGTGCCACTTACTAGCTCTAACCTACCAAGTGACAACATAATTAGTAAAAGAAACCTGTTGGAAACCCCCCAATCTGAATTGCGATCTCTAACTCACCTCTCAGCTTTCAACTTTAAAGAACGCCCATGCCTATTGATGGCTTTTAGACTATGATTTATTTGTCAGATTGTGTCGAATTATAGGCGTTAAAATTTTTGACATTTACCAAATACACTTGTTTAGTGTTGGCCAATTTCTGGGTCGTCTCTAAGGGTCACACAGTCAGCTAAGTGAAAATATTGCTATGGGATACGCGCAGAACATACCCTATCCTATGCCTTACATAAATATCTGGATAGCCTGTTTTGATAGAATATGGGTGACAAATGAGCACATAGTCCACCGGATCGTAAATGGATGTTGTGGCCCGTAGACGCCTATATCCATCCTCGATTAAGATTCAAAATTCGAATTGATGTGAAATGCATTTTCACTCCTGAAAACTAGATAATTAGAATGCCTTGCAAATTACCAGTAAGGTCTTCGTTTTTTGCACAGAATTCCAGCGTGAAACCCCGCTATTTCACGCTGGTATAGCGTAGTTCTTCCCCGGTCGAGGCGACATATTTGTCCTACATAACTGCAGCATGGTTCACTCAACCACATTAAAAATATGTAAAAATAAAAACGTAAAAAAAATGTGTATAAAACTTAAATAACCTTAACCTACATCTACTATCTATAATCTGTGTACTCTACTTGATTACGTAATTTTTGATGTTAATTTCAAAAGTTAATCTAAGAATTTATTAATCTAAATAATACACTTAACTTAATATTTTTACTTGATTAATGAAGTCAATACCAATAATTAGAAAAATAAGTGTGTTGTCAGAAATATGCCTATTTTTAATTTGAATTAATTATGATAATATACTCATAAACTTTAAAAAACTATATATGAATTCATTGCTAAACTACATTTAAAAAAATCTAACTCACAAAACAAGTGTTTTCCTTTATAACTTGTCACCTATAGGACAAAAAAATTATTACGAAACTTTTCAGTATTGACGGTCTATAGTATGATGGTGGAAAAAGGAATTTAAAAAAAGGAAAGCAAATGAAACAACAGATCCATTTAACAATTTCTATATTCAAATAATAAAGTTGACAATATCACAAATCGATGCTACCATCATACTATATCCCTTAACTTATATGGCCTACATTAGAACCATTTGACTTTGGAAAGAGAATTCAAAATCCATACATTAAGCAAAAACTAACTTTAGAAATTATATTTACAATTTTTGTTAAATTCTTGGAAGATAAATTGTACATAACCATAAGAATATATTTGTTATTTAAAATAATGTAATTCCAGTATGTAACATTATTCAGTTTATTTTAAAGAATAAATTAGAATATACATTTTATGCATATTTTATTTAGAGCTAAAAATACTAGTGTCGAATTTAGGCATCAAATAATTCTGGATTTTGTTCTTTTTGCTTCTTAATAGCTCTTTGATAACCTAAAGGTGTATCCATTTCCTGATAATCGTTGCTCATCTCCCTATCTCTTTTCTCTATGTACTCATGTAAACCTATTTTATCATTTGGGTCAATAATAGCTAAAAACACTATAACGCCAACAGATAAAAGAAAACCGGCGAGGAAAGCTGAAGTGTTATTCCGATAAGAATCTAGTAAACTGTCAAAAAATGTCCAGGATTTGGACTTGTCCTGTCGGCTACCCTCCGAATCCCTGTTCATTTCATGGATCTTTTGCGAGTCCGTCTCATTTGTACCACTGCTACTTTTGGTACTTTCTGTAAAATAAATTATTTAGAAGTGACTCATAGGAGGCTTGAATATTAAAGTTTTTGAAAAAACCTTGAAGCAACAATTTTATCTGTACTAGAAGCAAAACCTGCAAGAAACGTAAGTTAATTGCCATATTGAATTTATTCTGTTCTTCTTTACTGTTATCCTTCTTTAGTTGCTACATGCAACACTCAAATAATTGTAATAAGAAGTAATATATAACATTCATAAGGCGTTTTTCTTACATGATATAAATATTGCTGTTAATATATTCTCTTCCGCAAGTGGTTAAGTCATACAGAAGAATGTTCTATTTCTTGATATATCTATGCTGAATGTTCTATTTCTTGAAATATTTACGATTTCTTACCATCTCTGTCATATGAGACCCCATGTATCTGGCCCGGGGTGTCTTCCTCCAATTCGGCGTATGCGTACATAAGCGCCTTTTGCTTCTCACTCAAAGTTTTTGGTACCTTAAATGATTTTTACAAAAAGAGTTAAATAATCGTTAATAAATATGATGTGAAAATGCTAAGTATCATAGGACTAGTTTATAACCAAACTAAACAGTCTACAGTTGATCTTATTCCATAAGAGTCTGTAACAGTATGGGCCTCTGAAATAATAGAGAAGATTTGCCACAATCAACACGCTTGGCAGGTGAATTTTTTTTTGTTTTTTAAAGAAACGTTAATTGGAGAACAGAGTTCAATTTCTGCAGATACCCAATGAAATTATTGATTACCATTTCAAATACTTATTTGTAAAGTGCTTAGCGTTGAAGGAAAACATCTAAAGGAAACTTAAATGTCAGAGAAATCAAAAATTCGAGGACAAGTCTACAAATCCGCAAGCGTGCGAAAACGTATTACTATTTATTGGCTGCATGGCGGACTCTTCCCTGTATTAAAAACCCTCTCAGTAATAGAAGGCCCATTCCTATACATACACACAACTACACACATACATACACCCCACGACTTTTTAGTTAAACGATTATTACGCCTAGTTTGTAATGGGATAGGTAACTGATAAAGAACGTAGGTTCTCAAGCCGCAGTCAAGCACAGTTAACAGTGTAGAGTGACCCTTCACTAGGTGTTCACTAAATGATGACCTGATGATAGAATGTAATTCAAACTTCATGGTAGATGCAAAGTAAAGCGAATCAGTTCGCGCGCTTCTGCTTCAGAGTCGAGTCGAGATCATAAATAACTATGTTAATTTTAATACAATAATATTAATTTTTTGCCTATTATTCATATTTTGTTGTTTATTAGCACATTTTATTGTTGTTTGCAGCTGTTTTATTTCTTTAATAAAATATATTACAATGCGATTCAAATAAGAATAGTAACGTCAAAGACCTCGAATGACCGGGATCTGTAACACATGTCTAATTGTAAGAACTGTCACTTGAAAAGTACGGCTTGCAAAGAAAATTAATTTTTCACTTAACTTATTCCAATATTTAACTGATCAATTTTATTGAAGTCATAATTAAGCCCCGGATACACTAGGGGACATTTTGACCCGCAACATGCCGCGGAACTCTCAATCTACGTGACAATGCAACGTTGCACAGTGACCCGCAACATGGCCCGCAAGATTTTTCTTGTTCCCACTCCGAGAGCGAGCGCACATGTCCCGCGTCAGTTTCAACATGTCAGTAGTGTGGGGAAACGAAACCGTGCTTTAACTTCTTGAGTTTTATTAGTCATATTTTGTTGTGGGATACTTCCAACCACAAACTTCTGATACTATTCTACCGATCAATTGTTTCGACGCTCGAAAAGTGTACGACAAGGAAGCATAAGAATCTCCAGTCCACAGGTATCTTAATGCAATGGCAAGTGTGACATGAGAGGGATACCGTCAGACATTCGAAGATCATTTACAATATTAATTCTTTTTTTTCTCGTTGTAGTAAGAAATACCGCATCCACCACCTTCTCATTCAAGCGAAAATACGTAGTACACGAAGTAACGTAAGCACGTTTCACTCCCGAAATAAGTACTAATCGCCACAACCTCCTCGGCAACATTTCTATATGCACTGATTAGTGTGGCCTGCAAAATGTTCTGCAACATGTTTCTCGGGACATTCCACGTAGTTGTTGAGCGACCTGTTGCGTAACATGCCGCTCCTTTTGTCCCCAAGTATATCCAAGGCTTTAGTTTTAAAAATAATTAAAAACTGTTTTTATTTTCATTGCTAATAACATTTCGCCAAAAAGCAAATAGGACGCAATCTTGTCGATGTCATGAAAATTTATTATAAACATGGGTAAATAAAATGCCTAATTTTCCTTTTGTCGGTGGAATAGTTTAAATACCTACATACGATGACAATGACGATGACAATGCGATGACGATGACGATGTCGATGACGATAACGATGTCGATAGCGATGACGATGTCGATGTCGATGTCGATAGCGATGACGATGACGATGACGAATACGATGTCGATAGCGATGACGATGAAGATGTCGATGTCGATAGCGATGACGATGTCGATGTGGATGTCGATGTCGATAGCGATGACGATGACGATGACGATGTCGATGTCGATGACGATGAATTGACGTCACAATATGGCACCAGGTTAGTTCTATTCTTACTTGGATCGCATAGTAAAGCTATAGCTAGGTACATAATACAGCTATAGGCATAATATAGAGAATAAGAAACAATTAAGTTTTTAACCTAATATGTTACCTACTTGTATCTATATAAAGACAACACAAACCAGCATTTGTATACAAGTAAATTAACATTGTTGACTTAATTTGTTTTTTTTATTATAACATATAGCCTATAATGTATTTAGTGCCCAAAGAAAGCAGACATTAGTTTTTAATTTTACAGCCGCCATTAAGTTTCAATAGAGTTCTTTATCCATTCCTTGCAGAATCGCTGGATACAGTAAGCACAGGGCCATACTTTGTGGTGTTGTGTCTACAGTGGACTAGAACTACTAGTGAACTGTATTAGTAAACATTGATGTCTATATTGAACCAATAAATCTCACCTGAATTTTTATGTGAACATAGTGGTCTCCATAGCCATGCTGGCTAACCCTTTTCATTCCTTTCCGCGACAAGCGTATTGTACTGTGTGACGATGTGCCCGGCGTTATCTGTAAATGAACAGTGTTCATATAACAGTTGCTAACGTAGTATTAAAATAGTCAACAAAATACTGTTCATATAAGACAGTATGTGTAGAATCGAGAATTACAGACTTGGTACCCGCGGATCTGAGTGAGACGCATGGAAGAACAAGGACTAGCAGTCGAAACTGAATCAATAATTACAGTACTGAACAAACGATCAGAACTGAATTAAAAGCTACACACACTAAGATGCATGGGGAATGCGCCTTGAAATAGATTTTTTTCTTAATATGCGTTAAATAAATCAATGACAGACAGAGCAGAGATAAAGTGTATCAAATTTACATTTCTTGCTCATGACTTATATTACCAATATTTTTTTTATTTTTTTTTAATGTAGAGTTATAACTTACAATACAAATAGGATGCAACCTAGTAGAGTCATGCTGCAGCTATATAATATTAGTATTTCAAATGGATCGGCTCCAACAGGGAAAGATCACGCTCTCAGAGAATACCAGCTTAAAATATCAGTTTAAAGCTGATGTGTATCGTATGGTAAGTGTAGAGTACCGGAGACCCCTTTTAATGGAAACAAAGCATTCCATCTTAGTCCTCAGAGGTGACAATGCATTTGCATGCAGATAATATAGATGTTTTTGGGCCACAGTATCCACTTACCATCAGGTAGACTGCGTACTTGCTTGTCACCCTTATTCTATAAAAAAAAGGGTATTTTTCTTATTTTCTTATAATTCTGATTAAAATTATAATATGACTGAACAAACCTTAATAAGGCATGTATTGTGTTAATAGAATTATTACACTTATAATATTAACATAATTTACATTTCAGTGATTGAATCTCTAATTATGGTTGAAATTATTGAATAACAGATAGCTATGTTTGTCCTTCCAACAGAGTGGGAGTTCAGTGATGATAGTAAGACTTAAAAACCAACAATTAGCATTTTTACATAGTTGTTAGCCCCTGGTTGGGATTCGGATTCAGGACCTGAGAAATAGTAGTCATTTATTTTAACTACTAATATGTTGTCACGTCGTCAACCACATTACAATATGAACCATAGATAAGCACTCACCTGTAGTGTATGATCTTCATATAAGCCTTGTATCCTAACAGTGCCACCTAATACTGCCTGGGATACAGAAATCTACAAAAGGACAAAATAAAGAAGTTACAAAATATATTTAAATAATATAATATATTAAAATTAAAATTATACCACAAGCAAAAAAATATATTTCAGTACAAAATTAAAGAGGTTTTAATAATTTGAGCGCCAAGAAATATAAGATTATGGCCTTGATATTTTTACAATATTGTTCTGAGCTACAAGTTTAATATAATAAAAAAAACAAAGCTAATAATGTTTACATGGAAGTATAATTGCTTCCATACTATTTATTTTGTGTAATAAGTAGTAATCAGGCCTATGAATATCTATTTTAACAATATTGTAAACTTGTTATATAATTTTAGTAACCAATATATTGTTTGTTATAAAATGTATGGTCTAAGAGCTATTTATATAAACATAAATAACTTATTTTTAATAAACTTATTCTTAAACAGTGGCCAGTACAATATATTATGATATAATAGCAGCTGGAACGCAAAATAAAAACAGCTTGAATAAATTTTGTGCTGTTTAAGATTTTAAAAAATACACAACCCTAATGCATGATGACGAACTTCACATGTCTTCGAATTTTTTTTTTCTTGTTTCATTTTTTTCAATATAACATGCAAAATGTATCATGCTCTTATTCCAATTTTCTACTTACTAACACCACTTTAGTTAATTTATAATGTACAGGTAACTGCTTGATTTTAGTTGTAGACCACATTTATATGAGAGGTCATATTTTGGATATGCTTTTTGAAATGTATATACACAGAGTACATGGGTGTTGAATCAACAAACTAGTTAAATAGTCTAAAAAACAAATAGCAATTCGTAGACAGTTGCGGCGCTAAATCTAAAAGAAGCTATAAGAGTGTAATAAGTAAAACATCAACTTGCATAATTAATTAATTATGAAAGTTCACATTAGCTAACACAATAACTAGTTAACAATTTCAACTAGTTAATCCCTAGTGGATTAAATTGATGAACAAATCAAAGGTTTCATTAAATTAACAAAAACTATTAACCCATTGCTAATACAGACATAAATAGATCTTTATTTCAGCATGTATAACTTCCATTACTGTTTTTGCATGTAAATTATAATTATATAGAGATTATAACTGGTTGATAGATATAGATAGCCATTAAGTCTTTTGTCCTTCTTATGTGCATGTTAATTATGCTGCGAAATAAAAACTTACTGTGCAATCTGTGTGAACGTCAGGGCCATCTCGTTTGAAGTAATTTGACTCTTCTACCTTAAAGGTTACAAACACCTCATTGTTCCCAACAGCCATACGCACAGTCTGTCCATTCTCAACTCCCGCGGGCACAGGAACTGTTACCTTTTTGCGTTGCACCTAAATATAAAAATTATGTATAACACTGCAATAGACTATTAACAAATTAAAAGCTTTGGTCTCCTAATTTAGATTTTTCAAGTCATACCACACACAGCTTTCATTCACAAAAGACATTATTTCAAAGGAAGAACACAGATTTTCCGGTCCAAGCTGCGCAAGGAACTAAATAACCATATTTCCATCAATGTAAAGAGAAGAATATAAAAAACTTTAGTTAAATATTGTATTTCTAGAAAATAAATAAAATATACATACCGATTGACCCTTTCCTTCACATTCAACACATGGAAATTTAATAAGCATTCTTGTCCCATGACAATGTCGACAAGTGGAACGCATCACAAATGGACCTGAAATTAAATTTTAACATCATCATTTTCTTATTAACTGAAAGTTATTAAAATAAAGTCAGGTTGGACAAACTATCGTATTTTAGACACAATTTCGACGCACGAGAATTGATAATTCTTGAAATAACAAATGCTTGAAAAAAAATATATGCCCATATATGAAAAAATTGATTTCTTATTCAAATTGATTTTTAAAATATATTACATATATTAATCAAGATAAAAAAATTATAGTTCAATTGCGGCGAAAAAGCTTTGACGTTTCAGTTCTCTTTTATAACCATATAATATTATTCGATAATGAAAGTCATGAAGTAGATTCACCAACCTTTTTATTTCAATCCTTTGTTTCCTGATAATAAGCAAGTGTTTCAAATAAAGTAACATTTTGTCCACCGAATGTCACATGTTTATTTCCTGCTACACAAATAAAATGCATGCAGTGGAGAAGGGAGGAAATCCTCGCCTTAAGATCACTTTTATAAAATAATTTAGATTGTTTGCCGTATAGTGGCAGCGTAAGAGAATCCACTAGCCCAATATCATCCTGTTGGAGTGATAAGAGGTGACAGAGGTAAATAAATCATGAGATGTCAAAATAATAAAAACTGTGGTTGCCAAACTTTCCGCTCTGTGGCTCTATAACTATAATGCAAATATCCTATGAGGGAATTATGGAGGAGGTCTATGTTCACCAGTAAACCTTTCCTGAGTAGAATAAATCCTGTAATTTACAGCACTTTTTCCATTAAAATGTCAAGTTGGTATTAGTTTTTGCAATACTGTAACTGTTTCCCATAAGGGGGTGTCCATTAATTACGTGAGAGGTTTACAGGGGGTCGAGCCAAATCTCATCCAATCTAACGTGGGGGAGAGGGGGAGAGGGAGGGTCTCCTAGTCATGTAAGTTTTTTTAATAAAGATGAATACTACAAAAGTGCAAGAAATATACCTCTAGAGAAAGTTTCCATTCCAGAGCCATTGCAATATGTACACTTAATTGATTTAGTTCCAGGCTCACATCTAGATCCCTGGCATTTGGGGCAAGTGTCAACAACATTTAAATTTATTTCTTTGTTTACACCACGTGCTGCTTCAGTGAATCGCAGATTTACTATAACCTATAAAATAGATAACAAAAGCATATTAAGTAATAGTAACATGATGTTACAAAGTAAATAACAGCATATATATATATATATATATATATATATATATATATATATATATATATATATATATATATATATATATATATATATATATATATATATATAATAAAAATAAATAAAAACCAAATTATTGAAAGTTAAATATACCTCTTGAGCTGAACCAAAACCAAATTGACTCTCAGCAAAATCACTGAATGTCTCACTTTTAAAACCAGCATCACCAAATATCTTGCGGAACAACTCCTCAGGATCTATGGTAGATTTATATTGCCACTGATGAGTAAATCCATCAGATCCACTTGGCCCACCGCCCATGCCCATTTGTTCTGTAGTTGTACCATATGTATCATATTGTTTACGTTTATTTTCATCCGAGAGAATCTGTGAAAGAAGAAAAATATATACAGCAAAACACATACAGCAATATGACTATATTCAATAAAGTTAACTTTTAATGAAAAGGAAAACTCAAGTTTAAAGAACTAAAAAGATTCAATTCAAAACAATGTCCATAATAGTCTGTACTTGTGGACACTGTCACTTCTGTAGTCCACCATAAAACAGTGTTTAGATATTCCCCATTAGTTATTTAAAGTCAGCTTTTACTTCTTGTTTAAAATTATTTTGAACACATTTAATATTTTATTATAAGCTTAATTTTTGTAAGTAGACCCTATAATCCAACATGCCTATAACATGTAGGTACAGTTGAGTCATGTTAAGAATCTACCATGGGGGGAGGTGTTTTTCACTAACATGTGGACAAACAGGTTGTAAATAGTTTGCACCACCACAACTTTTGCTTAGTTTGAATGTGCCCATGGTAGCTGCCTAGCCGGCGTACATTATTTACTGTTAAGGTATTTATTGTGCATCCCATTATTTTTTATGTTTTATTATTTTATATTTGATATGTAATTTGGTGCTCTTTTTCAAAAAGTTCCAGACTATCAGGTGACTGTAGTACTCTATAATCAAACAAATTTAATATTCTGACATTGCCTTGCAAAACATTTGTTAGATTACCATGGTTCAACTGTAAAATGTTATATTAAAAAATTCATGCCCTATTTTGCCACTCTTAGAGATGGATATGAAGAATGAAATTTATACAGGACCGCCCTTAGCTTATTTAATAAAAAATAGAATCATAAAAATCAGTTCACAATTGAATTATATAATATTATGTAACATATATACAAAAAAAAAACAGATAAATTGAGTATCTTCTTTTTGAAGACTGATTAAAAATAACAAAATTGAGGAAAGAGAAGATTTAAGAATTTTGCCTAAGACGATTTGAAAAGCTACTCATCCAAAGGTTCTATACCTAACAGTATGTTTAGATAAACAGTGTATTTTTATTTATAACATATAAAATTTTAACTTATATTTTTTTAGTTTTAAGGTTCTTAGACAGCAAAGTGATCTTAGACAGCATTTTTTCACAAACGCCGAAAAATGAAACAAATGAAACTCATATTTGAATTCTTGTCTTACCTCATATGCTTCAGATACTTCCTGAAACTTCTTCGGAGCTTCGGGATCTGATTTATTTGCGTCCGGATGATATTTTTTAGCAAGTTGATAATATGCTTTTTTTATATCTTTGGCTGAAGCATTCTTTGGAACTCCCAGAACTTTATAGTAGTCAACGCGAGCATTTAAACTTTGTGTGGTGTGAAAAAATCGGTGTTTTGACCCGACGAAGTTATCTATAGAAAAGTGAGGTTATAGCTTAGATGCATCATACAAACACACTTATAAGTAGCAGTGTAAAAAGTGAATAAAATAGCTCCACGACAAGTACTTTATAAACGGCATTCAGAAAAAAAGATATTATGTATTTCGGTGATGTAATGACAGCATGTAAAACTTACAATTTAATTTATTATTTCGTGAAGTAATAGATACTACTGAACCACTCAAATTATTATGGCAAGTATTGCACTTATGAAATAAACGGCACGGTGCTTTAGAAATATTGTTATTAATGACAGTAATAATAGTTTTCGTATTCAAAAATCTCACGAAACTTCGAGTCGGAGCCATTTTTAGAAACTTGACTAAAATCATAGACGATAGAAAAGATTAATAAAAAGTTAAAAGTTGCATAGAGCATAGATAGAACTAAAAAGTACTATTTGGTACCTATGTGTTAGGCGTGTGTATCTCTTTACGGAAACGACTCACTGATACGAATCACTGAAGTGACACAAAAGATTGGTTCAGTAACAACGTTTCAAATGTATCATTTGTATCTGGAACAGTGAAACATTACTTTGCTCTTTGCTCATTTCGCGCGACGCATCGCTTGCGAGGCGACTGAGCCACGAGCGAGAGAGAGAGAGACTGAGACAATGATTAACTTAACTATTGACTCACGAGTGGCGAGTGAGCGGGCGAAATAATTATAATCCACACAAGTCAGATAGAGATAACAAATAAGAAGTGTATCCTCAACTCGTACGGATTTTCGCTGACGTTATTCATGCACGTAAAAATTACCACTAAGGCGCTTATGTGTCAAATACTATACGGTCGTTTTTTGTATGTAACGTTTGCATTAATAAGTTGACATTTTACGTTGATGCGGCACTTGTCAAATTGTTTATATTCATTAGCGCCTGTTTACGAAAACATACTGAGTTATGTTTAGGATTTCTTTGCGTAGTGATTATTGTGACTTTATTTTCTTCCTTTTCATCGTAAAGTTTAGAGTTATGATACTTTACGAGTATATTCTGTGTACATAGACATTGCTGTTTTGTGTAAATGGACATTTTTTGTAAATAATGAATTGACATAGTGACATTTTTGTTAAAGTATGAAGGAGAATCGATTTTATATACAATCTTATTACGGTACACAATAAATAATCTAAGCACTTATATTATTCAGCATGGTTGCCACATAATATTTCACGGATCAGTCAGTAATAAACGCCCGCGACGTAACTTAATGTACCTATTCGGAACATTCTTTCTTTCATATCTTTTGAGGCGATGATACAAATGAGCCAAATGAAACATATCAGTGTTTCGGAACATTTCAGTGATCAAGATGCAAATGTTCCAATCCCAAAAATGATACACTTTGCCCACCTCCACTATGTGTATTATTATAGTGCCACCAACTTTACTGTTCAGTTGACAGAGTCGCTTTGGAGTCGTTAGTGTAGAGCTTACTATTGCCACTTAAGAAATTTACCGTGGAAACGGGTAACTACATATTCACAAAATATTAGCATAGAACAATGAACATACAATTTACCTACAAATTATAACTTACCTCGATAATTGTCCGTCATACATAATTATTATGTAGAATTTAACAGTTCATCATCATCATCTTAACCCACAAGAGGGGTAGACATTTTCCGGCACGCTGGCCATGTGCAGATTTGAGATAATTTTGGAGAACTCTCAGGCATGCAAATTTATAGTCTGGCTCCTCGCTCCAGATCTATCTTGGCGCGAGTAAACTCTACCGGCATATATCCATTAGACCTATTAAACATTATTGTTCATTGTAGCATGCAAGCCGCACCACTTCGTCAATGTAGAGATACAACGGTGGGGATATTATTGTGGGGTATCAATATAGTTTTCTCATCTGGTTGTGATGCATAAATATACAAATGTAAATGAAAATGAGAAATATACATAAATATCAACAAATAAAATAAATACATAAAAAATACATAAATAAATAAAAACCCAACCAGAAGGAAGCCCTCGGCAGGGGAGACCAAACGGCCGACGGTTAATGGGAAAAGGAAAGAAACCGGCGGACGATGCGGGTGGTGTTCTGCATTCGAGACCGGAGCGGTACGTCACGGAGTCGAAGTCACCTCAGTTGACTTCAGAGGCTGACCGGGATTAGCCCGTTCGCAGAAATGACCACAGGAATAATTTCAGTCGGCAGACCACCCCACATGTTGGTCACCTTATGAGCCTGGTCCAGATATTTTGTGTGCTTATCTGTTTCGGCTTTCACGAGGTTCTCGTCATAAGGAATGGTAATGTTGACCAAAAATATCCTTGACTGTGCCCGATGCATCAGCAAAATATCAGGTTTATTCGCAAGAATAGTCCTGTCGGATTGATGATAGCCCGGTCCCAGTAGAGCCTGGCATGGTTATTTTTGGACACGGCTGCCGGCAAGTACTTATAATAAAATAGTTTCCGATCCACGGGACCGTATTTCAGAGTGAGCTCCTGATGTATATTCCTGCCTACTAGGTTGTTTCTGTGCAAATACTCAGAGTTAGAAAGCGCCGAACAACCGGAGATGCCATGCTTAAGTGACTCGCCGGGATAGCGACAAGCTCAACAGATGTCGACAGTGCCATACGGTACTGGACTGTACTGCCGGGTCTCATCTCGCCCTTTATCACAAGAAATGACGTCCTTATAGAATGAATCCTCCGATCTCGATAGGAAGTAATAACGGAGGTTGCACCCTTCGCGATTATGCATGGTGAGCGCGCTTAAAAAGCCACGCCCACCATGTTTCCGCAGCAAGAGTATAGCCTCATCACTGATCCTATGGGACGTCATGGTAGTGCGGACTTTTCTATCCAGGGCGTTAATTTTAGTTTAAGTTCACCTGAGTATGCCAAAGGTACACATGAGTACAGGCATGACCCAACCATTATATGCGTATGTCTTATTCACGCCCGACAAAAGGCTGTTAAGCACTTTGGTCAAGCGTGCATAAAACAGATCGCTAACTGATTGCCTCATGTCCACCTCATCAATACCTATACTATGTGACATACCCAAGTATCGGTATGTTTCAGCCTCGTTAGTGGGTCCTTATGTTAACGGGCATAGATAAGTGTAAGTGTAATACTTAGCATTAAGTTTACCTATTGTGAAGAGAAAATAAATTAATTCATTCATTCATTCATAAGTATATGCCCTCAGAGTTAACTACCATACCCTACCCTTCTCAACATGGAGGACCGCACACTTTTCGACCCCAGTTGCATTCCAATAGAATTGCTAAAATCAAAGGAATGTTTAGCAATTCCATAATATGTGAGCGACTGGAGGCGAATAACTTGAGATCATCCATGTAGAAAAGATGGATCACATTTATCCCTCCTTCCCGAAGCTAAAATCCCCTCCCGGATTCCTTCAATAAGGTACTGAGAGGATTCAGAGAGAGGCAGAAGCAGATTGGACTCAAACAATCGCCCTGTAAGATACCCCTTCTTATCCTTATGCTGCTTTCCGCAGCCGTTATTCGCTCACCTAGATGACAAAGGATCATACTTCACTGCCCTATACACTGCCCGAGGAAGTCTCTAACTGTATAGTCAACCTTGTACAGCTCGAGGACCCTCTTTAGCCATGTATGGGGCACTGAATCGAATGCCTTTCTGTAGTCTATCCAGGCGGCGGAGAAGTTCCAACAGTTGCGGAAATAAAAAGGTAAATATGAATTTAAACTCTTTTAAAGCATATTTTCCCTCGTCATATTTCTTGTATCCTATTTGACGTGATTTATGTAGGTAACTACCTAATGATGCTGCAATGCGTGGAAATAAATAAAATCAGTTTATGGTTAAAATTTATTCCCTCGTTTCCTGCTCAGTAAATACATAAAATATGAACATAAATGGTAATAGAGCTATTACATAATACTTTGTCCAGGTCGTGAATGGAAGTAATTGTCGTATGGCAATAAGTTACTGACAACACGAGGACATGTCACTAATGGCGGTGAGTATACCGGTCCTCTTCTACATCACGATTAATATATCAGACGTGTGCACACGATTGGTTGACATAATTATTGCAATTAATTATAGCTCTATTGGTACAAACTGACCTTATTATTATTTACCATGTAAGATAATTGCGACGCGCAAGGTTAGTGAGTTTTAATTAACTAAGTTATTACATATCTTGTTTACAATTATCATTGTTAAAACAGTGTCAAACAGTGATTTATTCCCAGTAACTTCTTTTAAATCATCTGAGAGTTACAGATGCTACTTATGAATGCAGTTTAAAAATATAGAATTGTGATTACAACCCATATACATCCAACTATGTTATGAAGTAGTTCATACTGACTATTCTTGTGCTCCAATTTTAATTCAATACGTTTTAATTCGGATTAGTAAGCTGAAGTGGCAGTGGGCCGGCCATATAGCTCGTAGAACCGACAACCGATGGGGAAGAAAGGTTCTTGAGTGGCAGCCTAGTACCGGTAGGCGAAATGTAGGGCGACCCCCCACAAGGTGGAGTGGCATCTCTATATATGAAAAGTGTCCCTAAAAACGCGTCCAATAAAGGTGGCGCTGCAGTAGCATAGGATAAATTTAAAAAAAAAGCGCCAAAATTAATTAGAATAAGATGGAGAAATAAACAAGGACCGACCAATCCGCTTGGTTTTGTACCACGTAAATAGTTGAGGTTTTGTTTACCTACTGGCATTTTACATTTTACTAACTACTCTAGTCATGAGATTTTTTAAATATTTGAATTCAGCTGACTTCACTCCGTCTATAACAGCTATATTCATATCGTAGTTTTTCAGACGCCAGCGCTATTTTGGTAGGTTTTGGAACCTCTATTTTCAGTATATAGTGGGACACTTTTTCAACTTTAGCACCTTATAAGATGGTTCTCATTCTACTCCTTATTACGATGTTTACCTCAACGCCGAGCATGCTTATAATATGACAAATCAGCATTTAACATTAGTAAATGAGGATGATCTCATTGACTTTCTGACATTAGCGACGTTCTTTTCGGCGATTCTTGATCCTTTTATTATTGACCAAGTCCAATGACCTTGTGGCTTCACTAAAACTATAGAAAGAACTCAAAATGAAGAAACAATTCTACAGAGTAAAGCAACTTGCAGATCAAACATTCTCGAGGTACCATATTTTATCAAGTATCAGATAAGATTTTCTGTATTATTATATACATGTAATAATTAGAAATTTTAATTTACGTGCATTACTATATAAGCACTTTTTATATAATCAATATCTTAAAATTATTATTATTTTTTTAGTTCATAGAAAT